CACTGGCTAATAACTATATTTATATATATATATATATATATATATATATATATATATATATATATATATATATATATATATCCATTTAAAAACGTACCTAGTTACGAACCCGAGCGATGCGACGACGAGCCGCTAGTTTTAAATAAAACTATCTTTTCGGGGTTTTTTCGCGAATTTATTTTTAACAGTTAATTAATTTTAATCTTGAAAATTGAACCTGGGATCTTTACGCCAATGTTCTAAGCTCTATCGTAATCTGATATATCTGTATGAACATATTAACGGTTTAATTATAACCCTATAGAAAATTTGTTTAGCCCTACAACAACTTTGATAATTATTCCTACAAACTTGCCCTTTTCAAAGTTTAACTTCGTAGACATGACTTAGTCGAATTCAATTTGCTTAACTAACAGAAGGTGAGACTAGAGTACGAGTATATATATATACATAGATAAACTGTCGAGATAACGGAAGTTAGAGATCATTGTTTTATGGTCACGGCACGTTTGGCTCAGTTTGTAGTAACCCTACTTGCTGTGCCAGCGGTCGCGGGTTCGAGTCCCACTGGGGGCATTCATTTGTATGATGAGCACGAATGCTTGTACTCAAATCATGGGTGTTTATATTTATAATATGTATGTATTTAAAAGTTATATATGTATGATGTATCAACTATCTGGTATCCATAATAGACCAGGGTCGATAATTTTTGAAACCAAAAAAATTAATAGTAGGATGAATCCCATTGGAAAAGGAAGAGAATATAACAAAAATGAAAGGAAAAATAATTTACGGGCGATCTGAGGTCGGGAAGTGGTAGAGGATGAGTTTTTAAGGGCAAAAAACGGTTTATCTCGATTTCCGGCAAAACTACAAGTCCTATGGAAAAAATATAAATTTCAAAGTTGAAGGTAATAAAAAGATATACAATTATTGTATTTACACTTTTTTCACATACCCTCAAAGTTTATGTGAAAAATTCAAATAACCAAGTTTTTGGTTTTTTTTTATCTTTTACAAAAAAATATCTTTACACGAAATTTGTTAAAACTTACCTTTTTATGTCGCAAACATACTGTAATTTTTTTGATTTAAAATAATTATTTTTCCACCTTATTTTGACTTAATATCGAAAAAGCACCCTAATTTTCAATAGAAAATTCTCGCGTCAAAATATCTGCTTTTTAAAAAAAGTCGGTGGGCTTTTTGTTCATTGAAATCTCTACTTTCTGATACACCATCAAAAAATATACATTACTATGATAAATTTTCTCAGAAAATGCAAATAATAAAGTTAATATTTAATAAGACATCTACAATATTTTGAGAAAGTTGTAGAGATCTTCTTTAAATTATATGAGTAACCTACGGAAAATTTTAGCGCATCAAAAGGTATTTCATTGAGAAGTAGGAAAGGGACTAGGAGGGTCTGGCTATACTTTTTGCATTTTTTGAGAAAATTTACCATATAATTTAAAAGCTTTTTTTAATATGTTATTCCTCAAAAATAGTCCTATATAAGTTTCAAGAAATAATGACATCCCATAAGCTGGATTTAAATTTTCTGTCATTTTGAAGTGCTTTTCAGTTGAAAAGTAATTATTTATATTATTGCTCTAACTTGAAGCATTTTATGGAGAAAATTACTCTCCAAAGCTGTCTTCTTTTCTCGGTTCAGTTAATTACGAGTGATTGCAAAACTTAAGGAAATCTCAGTAATTTGTAGCTAATTTTCTTACTAGAGAAACTCTAACCAGGAAGTACTGAAGCACTTTGCTGGCCTCCATTCTTATATTGCAAATTTAATTTGTATAAGCTTGAGCTCAATTCCTTATTATATAATTGAATATTATCGTAGCAAATAACAGTAATTAAACATTCTTTCATAAAGTCGCGGATTTTGATGTACTCAAAATAGTTAAGAAATCTGTGTGTAAAAGCAATGATTTAAAAAAAATAAGCCATAATTTTAACTACATCTATTATAAATATTAAAGACTAGCGATTCACCCTCGCTCCGCTCGAGTTCGTCCCTAGGTACCTCAGTTTTGTATAGATTAGTATAGATTTTTCAGAGATATTGTCCTGTAGTAAAAAGTATCCTAAATGTTGACTCGGATACCCAGATATCATCATACCAAATTTCATCAAAATCTGTCCAATAGTTTTCTCGTGATGCGTTCCCAGATTAACAGACAGACAAAAAATCTAAATACTATAGATTCTGCCTCTGTACCGATAATAATGACTTTTTCAATAACATCTTCTAAAAAATATCTTATATCCAGATTCGACACAGAATTTTATTATACGTAGATATATAGATATATACAAAAAATCGATTTTAATTCGCATTTTCTCAACAAGTTTTCGACTGATGTATACCCTAGAGTCCTGACCCTAGCAATACCTTCGTGCGGTCAGAAACTTGTTAAACGAAACCTTTCACTAATTTCTCGACCGCATGTTACAAACTTGGCTCGTTCAAGTAGCGGCTATAGCACTTGAAAATTGTAACGTTAATGTTTCTTTGTTCGTAATATTTTTAAGTTGTGCTTTCACAATTATCACGGTTGTTAGAAGATTAAATTGTACTTAAGTTAAATATTTTTCTAGTGTGTTCATATTATGTGCTTATGTACTTATCTTTTATATAACCTTAACTCCTCTGAAAGTGTTTGATTTTTTTTAATGTTTTTTTTTTAATTTTTATAATTTTGTAGGTTGCATGTCTGTAACAACAACCTATATAATTAACTTTAAAGCGCCTAAAACCTTATTCTCCATCGTGACCATGATTGCTGTTAAACATTCGAAACGTCGAGAAAAGATTCAAAATTAAAAATAAACTCTATGGTGGAATTCTTTCTAAATATTTATAAAGCTATACTATACAATTTTAGTTTATAATTATATTTCTCCAGCTAAAATAGATTCCACGACCTTTCCTTAAATTTAAATACAAAATTTTACCCAAGCGCTAAATAATCTGAAGTAAATTATTAAAATTCGCTTGTCATGTTTTATACAGAGCCTCGTAACAGCGGTCTCGAACTTGTTGAATGTCCCAAAACCCGGCCCTTTGTTTTGTTACAGTTTAACCTACGATTTATTTCGACTTGGGTTAATTTTATAAAGTTGTTAGCATTGAATTCTCAATGTTATATTTTTTTTGGTACTTCTAGTCTTAGTGGTTATAATAAACTAATCTTTACCTGCAGTTCTGTTTGCGTTAGAGAAAGTATGGTTTGTACGTTTTAGCTACTTTGGCCAATATCACTGAGATAATTATAAATTAAAAATTTAAAAAACCCCCTACGCAAATTAATTGTCATTTAACGATTACACTGGCACGCGTGAAGCACTTAATCGAGTAATCATACGCCAAAATGCTTGACATCATTTCGGAAAAGAGCTGATACTCTTACACTGCTGGACCAATATTAACCAAACATAGCTAAGAACCACCGCAAGAAAACTGGCTTTCAAATGAAAAAAAAAATCTCATCGAAATCGGTCCATCCGTTTGAGAGCTACGATACCACAGACAGACCCCACTTTTTGCGTCGGGGATTAAAAAGAGCTATCTGCACAGATAGCATGCACTAATGTGTGCGCGCACACACAAGCGCACTCTCTGCTTTCACATTCATTCGACCTCTCTTCGACTCTATTCGACCGATAAGAGATAAGCTGTAGAACAGATGGCTATATGATATACGTGCTCTCTGACGTATGGGTGTGTACCGTCAACTTTCTAACTTCGAGGTGTCACTGTGAATTTCTTGACAGAACACCACAATGGTACTTGGCCCAACATTCGCAAATACGCACCAATGTTATGTTAGATACTGTTTCATTTATCTCTCTTTTTTATCATGGCGAATTCCATGTGGATGCCTACATTCCAAACAATGTACGAATTACCAAATACCTTTCTTGAAAATACGTAAGACTAGTTTGAATTTGACCTGTGATTCTTAATTTTTTAAACGTTTTACAGTAATATAAGCTACCAAAACCCCTGTTTTGACTGACAGCAAAAATACTCAGTACTACAGATGTGCTCAATTGTTGTGTTATTTTTTATCTATTTTTGTGTGTTTGTTACGCGGTATCTTGTGAATTGTAAACCAATGAGCCTTTTAAATGAATAGGTGATAAAAAAGAGGTCAAAGATTCATTCAATCATTCATTTATTTATTAATTCATTTACTTATTCATTCATTCATTCAATTATTCATTCAAAGTCAAAGTTCAAAGGTGGTCACATAAATTTCAAAACATTATAGTCATTTTCAGTGAGTTTAAAGTCAACGTATCTTTTAATATCAAATATAAAAACGATAGTATTACTTAAATGATAAAATTATAATCATTTGAAGATAATCTAATGTTAATTAAACGCCATATTGGATTATAAAGAGTATCTAATTTCTTGTTTCATGTTACAGGGCGTTAACATTAATCAATGTCCGACGCCTTCTGTTCTTACTGAGATATTAAATTAAAATATTACGTTAATACTCCAACGGTAACAACCTTTTATTCAGAATTTATATTTTAATAAACTAAACAATGGCCATAGTTAACGATGCTATTTATTAAAATTAATTATATGAATTACTCAAAAAAAACCCCACTGTTTAAAACGAGAACTAAAACGATGAGAACAAGTTGATGAAGGTACATAATATTATGTAATCGGAGACATTATAAATATTCGACTCTTTTTAACGACCCACTTCTGGGCATAGGCTTCCCTTCATTATAAGTGGGATCAGGCCATAGCCCACCACGCTGGCCAAGTGCAGGCGGACTGCACATACCTTTCGAAAACTTGCTAGGTTCTCTCAGATATGCAGATTTTCTTACGAAGTTTTACTTAACCGTAAGACAAGTAGTAATCAATGTATTTAGTTAGCCGTGGCTGTGTTATCTAATATAGCTTTATTTATATAGAAATAGTTTTTTTGCAAAACTTTTTCCTTTTACAGATTGGTTCCCTGGATGGAGGAAACACGCTGGTCAGCCTAATGACGACGGTACCTCAGGACAAGACTGCGTTGAGGCTCGAAGAGAACTTCCCCCAAGACCTGCACACCCAACCTTCATGTGGAACGATCGGAGTTGCCGAGAACATAATTACTACGTGTGTGAACGACCTGGGATTGAAGGTAACACTAGTATTTATTTTATTTTAAACGAACGACTTACACTCGCTACTCTCTGGTGAGTTTCTAGGTACGTGGACTTTGTTCACTATTTCGTAGATTTATTTTTTTAGCGCTGAACTCTAATTCTTGTTCTAAATTAAAAGCCAAAGTTACTCCTTATAACATCAACTATCTGCCAGTGAAAGTCCCTTCAAAATCGGTTCAGTCGTTTCGGAGATTAACCGAAACAAACAGACAGACAGACAAAAATTTCAAAAAGAAAAATAATCTTATATGTACCGTATATACTTTCTTAGCTAAACAGCTGTTATTATGACATTACAAGCAGACACTTCAATAATATTATCTGTATAGATTAAATTTTTAACATGGAAATATAATTGAATTGGCTCAAAGAATTTTTGATTATTAAATGCGTGCCATCTATTTATTATATGGCCATACCTTATCTATCTTTTAAACTTTTAAGGCTTACAACGCTTTTCTCAAAATGAGTAACAATTTATATGTAACCTCAATTAATCTCATACTAACCATAGTAGACAGATTCACGGCTAAGTGAAGACTATCCGTGATCAATATAATAAACTTATCCAACAATTTTGATTTTCTAAACCATTTTTACATACTAAAACAGAAAAAAACTGGAGCAAAAGCTCGTTTGAAATAAAATTCATAAATATGAAAAGCTTACGGTACGCGCTGTGTTGATTTCGTTTATTTTGTATTTTTTAATTCAGTTAGACGTAGCGATTGGTATAGTCTGTTTGGCGATAGTTACAAACGATTGGTTTCATATCTATACTAATATTATAAATGTGAAAGAGTGTTTGGTTGTTTGTCCTTCTTTCACGGCGAAACGGGGAGACGGATTGGCGTGATTTTTTGCGTAGAGATAGCTGGAGAGCTGGAGGGTTACAAAGGCTACCGCGAGAGATTATCTTATTCCCACGGGAAAACACGTTATAATACAATCCAAAAAATATTTATGATCAGTATTACTTGAAACTTGATATTAATCTTCAATAAAATTAAATAAATACGTGTTTTAGTTTTACGTCATTCGAAATTCATTCTATAAGGGGGTAAAATAGGGGATAAAACTTTGTAGAAACTACCTTTTTGATATTTTGTGTAGTTTTAGCGTGAGCGAAGCCGCGGGTTTTGCTAGTCTACATATAAAATGATTGTTACGAGTTTTTCATAGAAACAAACATCAACAAATTTTATAAAATAAAGTCGCTATTTTTGACTTCTTGTAAAAAATCTGAACAAGCTGACTTATACTATTCTGTATTGCATCTAAATAAATTACATAAATTATTATTAACATACAATGTAATTGTGGGCAATGGTAGCCAAGTGGTAATGATCTCACTTGGGAAACCGAGTGAAGCGGGTTCAAATTCCAGATCTGGCATCTCTAATATTTTCATGTGCGAATCATTTCTAACATGATTACCAATTGCCTTACGGTGAAAGAAAACATCGTAAAGAAACCTGCGTGTCTGAGAGAACCTACCTACCAAGTTTTCGGAAGACATGTGAGGCCAGTGGTGGACTATATTTTTTTTATTTTTTTATTTATTGGATCTACCAGCAATTTTACATAACATAAGTTTCTAAAAGTATATACATTACATGCACAGAGTATGTAAAATCATTTTTCAATCTTTTTTCGAAAACTTGTAAAGTTTTTAGACATGCACGATGCAGGTTTCCTCACGATGTTTACTTTCACCGTAAGGCAAGTGGTAATCATGTTGGGAATTATTCATACACGAAAATATCACAGGTGCGAAACCCGGAATCTGGACCCGCTTCACTCAGTGTACCAAGCGAGCGCATTACAACTGGGCTATCACTGCCTATCCGATCATAATATCGATTTACAATAATAAACCAGTGAATGTTGAACAGCACACCAGATATTCACAAACAAACAAACAAACCAACAAACAAATACACAAATACACACACAAACAACTCATTCGCTCCAAAATACTGAAATGCATTTCCTCCATATTGTTCTTATACCATAAAGTGTATACAAATAAATAAAACAACAGAAAATAAGAATTTCTAGTACAGATTGTTTATGTTATTATTGTCCATCAAAAGTCTTTATCGACTGTATTTCTTCGATATATTTCCTTCTTATATTTTCAATAGATCGTCGTTTTGTTCTGAATTCTCGGACCGAATTATTTGGTCAAACGAAATAACAATCTGTACAAGCTACTAAGAAACACCATAAAGTAAGTGGTTTAGGAGCAATTGCTTATACTATATTACATTTTGCGGATTTACTCAATATATTTTCTTCATTAAAATTTGTGTCCTTATAGGAAAAATATTAGCCATACATAAATTATTTTTGGGTCTGTTAATGTTACGATACCAACTAAACTAACTCTTCTAAGTCCAATCCCAGAAAGAATTTAGCAGAAAAATATCATTTACTGAGCTTTCTTGGTAGTAATAATAATAATAATAATTTGCTACATTCTCCCGCATTTTCATAAGTATGCAAAAACCTACTATTCTGAACACATGTCGCATAGTCCGAAAGCTTCTGCAAGACGATTCCCTTAATCATCAAACAATAGCTAACGATGACTGTCAATTGGTGTAAGCCCGTGAGATTCATAACACCGAAATTTTATATTTCAAAAAAAATTAAATATAAAACTGTACGAGTATAATACAATTTTTATTTAACATTCTACTTGGATTCAAATAAACCTCAAAATTTATATGACACTGCAACAAGCATTCAACAATAAGAAATAAACCTGATATCCTACAAATATTATAAGAATTTGTAAGGATGGGTGGATGGTTGTTATACTTTCACGCAAAAAGTACAGAACGGATTTGATGAAACTTATAGTAATTTAAAAGTAACACATTAGCTCTATTTTATAAAGATTTTGCAGTAAATCAAATATAATTATTAAACTACGCATGCGGAGCAGCGGGAAACGTTAGTGATAAATATTAAATAGTCTCATATATTCAATAAAATGATACCTACATGAGCATAGTCATACCTCATACCTTTGTAAAACATGAGAGACCCATGTTCATCCATTAACCACATCGCTCACTAAAATACCACCACCTCATGTAAACATGATAATACAGGTAAACCAACAAATATATTATTTAAATAGCGACTTACCCTCGCCCCGCTTGTGTTCGTTCCTATGATGGGATATTTTCCCGCAGTATAAGTATCCTATATGTTGACCCGGATAACCATCTATCATCATATCTAATTTCATCAAATTCTGTCCAGTGGCTTTCTCGTGATGCGTTCCCAGTCAAACAGACAGACATACAGACAAAAACTCTAAAAACTATAGTTTCGGCCTTTGTATCGATAATAATGACTATTTCAATTAGATTTAGCAAAAAATATTTAATGTACAGATTCGACTCAGTCAGAATTTTATTATATGTGTAGATATTCTCATTAAATAAACCGCCCTCAACCGCTATACATAAAAATTATATGGAATATTTCTGTAAATTTTAACACCTTTAAACCTTTCAAATTATGACATAATAAGGACATGTCGACACATTTCAGAGGCATCATCAAATGAGCCATCAAGAGCGCACTCGCTATCACCACTGTCAAAGGACTGACCACTTAAATTGACTTCACGTACTTCGTACGTGAGCTGTGTACCATGTACATGTCCATTGAAAACTCCACTTTACCACATTGACTTAAGGATCATAATTCCGTTCACATATAATCAAATACCGATACGTGGTACTGACGTAATAAAAGTTCTAGAGCCTTGAAATAGGGTTCTCAATTGAATAATCTGAAAGATTGACCCTTGTCTTCCTTAAGTTGGACCGTGCTTAACATATCTCAGTTAACAAGTGACCAGTTATCTTCAACAAGCTAAACAAGATTTACTCAATTTGAAATTCAATTACTAAGAAGCTGTGAGGTCTTTCAATGTAATAATTTGATTCTGTGTGATAAAGAATGTGCTTCGTCGAAATTGACCAAATTTCTCGATTTACTCTCGTAATCGATGTATCGTGATATACTTAGAAGAAATGGCGATAGTTTGAAAGTGTCCCGTAGAGCAATGCCTCTATTTTTCAAATTAAAATCGAAGGTTACGAATATGCTCGATGTCAGAAGACCTTTCAAAAATCTTTCTTTGGCCAGTTGGTTAACTCAATGTCCATCTCGTCTTTGATATCCCTACGAATTTTGCCTAATGCCCCAGAATTTTCACCTTCTGAGTCCCCGTATCTTAGAAGAAAAACACAATCGTCATTTCTCAGAACGTCCTTTTGTTTTTGCACCTAAACAATAAAGAATTAAATACTATATAATACTACTATAACTAACACGCTCAAAAAAAGTCTGATGCACGCAAAGTATGAAAATCCTAAATATACTTAACTAGCGACTTCTCCTTACTTCGCTCGGATGCGTTCCTAGGTGTGTCTAACAATAGCCAATAAAGTGGCTCAACGGTTATTTATCAACCGACTTCAAAAGGAGGAGGTTCTTAATTCGACTGTATTTTTATTTTTTTAGGTTTGTTACCTCAGAACTCCGACATTTATTAACTGATTTGGACAATTTTTGTGCTGTTTGAAAGTGTTCTTCCAGATTGGTCCCATTTAAATTTCAAAAAAATTACCACCCGTAAGGGTGGAAAAATAGCTAATGATGAATTTAACCTGAATGAATTTGACTTCTAATTGTCATATTGACTTAAAACTTTGCAAGTGTTTCTATTTCCGTTGATAGTACAGTGGTTCGGTATTGTTGATCTGATCTGATGGTAAGGCCAGAAGGTGGGACTCTTCAACGGCTAATAGTAAATACTTTGAGTTTGGCCTTATTTTGTTTGATTTGACAAGCCTAACACGTTAGAATTCTTACTTTGCTACTACTGTCTACACTAAAAAGGGACAAATAAAAACTTTTTAACAAAAAAATAAAAACCGACTTCAAA